CAGCAGGAAATTTAAGCAAAAATTCCTTCATTTTCTGTTTATTAGTCCTATTGTACTAAGATGAATTCGGTTGTTGGTTTCACTGCAAATGACATCAAGCATACATGTATGGTAAAATATTCTGTTCATACATGAAAACATTTCCGTTTTCTTGAAAATTGGAATGCCTAGCTGTAGTGGGTAGACAGATTAGCTGCATGTTTCTAACAGAATTCACAGCAAAAGCAGTTTACAAGACATTCTGATTGCTGCCACAAGTTCTGTTTTAATCTGTTTGCCAGCTCAAAAGGTAGTATTGCTTCAGCGCATGTTTCAAAATTAAATTTCAGCTGAGCATCCACTTTAAAAGCGTAAGTTTTACTACTTTGAAAGCAATGATTTAAATAAAAGTAAATACATTGCCATTTCAGATGAAAGCAGTAGCTGGTATGAAGATGTCTTACCAGGTACAACAAGCAATTAATACCTGCCCAAAAGATCCTGTAAGAGGTTTTAGACATGATGAATCATCCAGTGCACTGTGTTCACACCTATACTCCATGATCCGAGGGAACCGCCAACACAGACGAGCGTTTCTAATTTCTTTGCTCAACCTGTTTGATGATACTGCAGTAAGCATTGCATTTCCTTCACTTAAAAAGAATTAGAAGCTTAAATTCTCTTTTTGCAATGTATTTTTATGACTTAACTAAAGATAACTTTATCTCCCTAATGTATTTTGTTTTGCTTTATAACATAAGGCATTTGCCTATCTAATATTGCTTACATAGAATGCATTTGTTGCTTTAGTATCATTCTGTACCTTTCCATACCCAGTTATTTCTTCAGGTATGACTAAATTTTGCATGTTGTTTAGAGGTGGGTTTGGGGCAGTACGTGGAATAAAATTTGTGATCATGTTCTGGCTCTAGATTGTTAGGAACAAAGGATAAATGTATAAATCTAAGATATTTTATGTTTATTTTTATGTACCTTTTTTTTTAACTTTCAGAAAACAGAGGTGAATATGCTCTTGTATATAGCAGACAATCTAGCCTGTTTCCCTTATCAAACACAGGAAGAGCCACTGTTCATAATGCATCATATAGACATTACACTTTCAGTTTCTGGTAGCAACTTACTACAGTCATTTAAAGAGGTAGGTACATTTATATTTTAAAGTATTTATTATGGTGGCAACATAATCTTCTCCATGATTTGGTCGATTTTTCAGTTAATACAGTACTATTGTTATTATATTGACCAGTAGCATTACTTTGTAACCAGTAGTTCAGAACAAGCAACCCTTTCTGTTCTGTAGTGCATTTGGTAGACACTAATTGAAAACTTTCCATACATTGCTGCTTACATTATTAAAAAGTAATGATGAATTTTGCCATCATTCCCTGGTATGGCTAAATAATAATTAATTGCATGCGTCTGGAAGCACATTAACCCAGAATCATTATGAAATACTAGTTTACTGTGGTTGTTTGTATAATTTTAACAATAAAATACAGTTGACTGTTTATTTTGTTGTCAAGTAACTGATGGCAGTTGTGTGTGTGTTGCCTCAGAGACTTTAAATACATTGTTTATTGCAGGAAAAGAATGTACAGTCTTTCTTTTCTTAAGGTAGCATGTAAGAATCTGAATTATGGTATAGTATCTGTTGCTATGGTAGTACACAACCACGTAAGAAAAGGCCATCGCAACTTGAAGACTTCAGTATCTTAATTTCCTGGAGACCTCTAACAGTAGAAAGTACAAACTGTCAGGAAATAAACCCATTTCTAGAATGTCCAGTCTGACTAGAAAGTACAAGTGAGAACTCATGCCTGAAAATTACACTGCTTCGAATTGTCACCATACCAAAGTCGATTTCTAGTCTGCTAGAAGGAGGGAGTATTGGGGACCAGTGGGTAGCATCCAGCACAGACAGGATGAGATCCTGCTTAGGACATATTAAGTTCCATGTTCTGAAAAATCATACTAGGTGCAGTAATAATGCATGCGTGAATCTCTGTAGCTTTGAAAGTAGTAGAACTGATAATTATTAGTAATGTGTATGATCACTTGAGGTTTCTCTGATCAGCAGAGTAGTTACTGTCATAGAATTTTAAGAGACAAGGATTAAAACCAGCTTAGACTAGTTGTGCCAAAGTACATACGAAAATCTACATGACACACAAATGATGTCTGGCTGAAAAAAAATGGAATTTTCTTCCTGATTGATTCTGTTTGGCCTTCTATTGCATTTTACTGTAATTGCTTATGAACTTGAGCAGTCTTCTAAGTGTAACATGCCAGTGGGGTACTGGTTGCTTCAGTTCCTTCTGTACCCACCTTACAAAACATGTGAACTTTGGATCCATTTTTCATCATCTCTTTGCCATAAAGAATTTTAACATTTAATATCACATTATAAATTAATAACATTGTTCAGGGAATTCTTGCGAATTTAAGGCAGTAATGACTTTGGAAACATTTTTTAGAAACATACGTGATGCTACTTACTCTAACTTTGGAATGTGTGTTAACTTTTCTATCTTGCAGTCTATGGTGAAAGACAAAAAAAAGGAAAGAAAACCTTCATCAGATGAGGAGACTGAGAGTGACAGTAACAGTGGTAGTGAGAGTGAAAGTGAAGAGGAAGCTTCTAAGCCTCGGAGGTTACGGAAACGAGCAGACTCTGATTCAGATTCTGATGAAGAAAATGATATAAATGCTGTGATGAAGTGTTTACCAGAAAATTCAGCTCCTTTAATTGAATTTGCAAATGTCTCCCAAGGCATATTACTACTTTTGATGCTGAAACAGCATTTAAAGAACCTCTGTGGATTCTCTGATAGGTAAGAATATTTAGATAATAGGCCATCTTGTTATTTAGTAAGTTCTTTGTAAGGATCAAGGAAGAAGTTGATTGTAACTAATTGTTAAGCAATAGATTTGTGTAAGGGAAGAAGCATAAATGTGGTAAGTTGAATGCAGTGAAAGGCTGGCTTAGAAAAAGCAATTATTTCATTTCTTACCAGGTTGTCTGTCGTATATTGAATGATTAAAACTGATTATTAAAACTGAATGATAGGTATTTATAGTGAAGGTTTTAATAGCCTTTCTTTGAAATTACTTTGGTCTTTCCTTAAAAGTTCTTCCCTTTTGTTTTCTTTAAACAGTAAAATTCAGAAATACTCTCCATCTGAATCTGCAAAAGTTTATGATAAAGCGATAAACAGGAAGACAGGAGTGCATTTTCATCCAAAACAAACTCTGGATTTTCTGCGGAGTGATATGGCTAATTCCAAGATCACTGAAGAAGTGAAGAGGAGTATAGTAAAACAGTACTTAGATGTAAGTAAAGTTTCTTCACAGAAAACCTGAAATTTATACTGTACTATGTAGCACAGTATTAATTTGAATGTAGATGTCGATGCATGTAATGAGCATTTCAAAATGTTAAGTTCCTGGTAATCTTACGTGATATGTTTATAACTCACCACTTCCTTTCAGGATGTTTAGCAGGACTATCTTTCAAAGATACATAATAATTTTAAACATGATGAAAATTAATTTTAGCTAAAGAATATTCATCTTTATGGCATATTTCTAATTTCTAGTATCCATCTTAGAATCATAGAATCACAGAATGGTTTGGGTTGGAAAGGACCTTAAGATCATCTAGTTCCAAGCCCCTTGCCATGGGCAGGGACACCTCTTCTATAACTCTCCCATATAACTTGTTCACTATATCCCTGACTGTTGCCATCATAGGAACAGAAACTAAATCTATTGTATTTCCATCCCCCTATCTTTAAATATAAGTTAGAGAAAACTTGCCATTTTGGAAACACAGAAGGAAAGCCTTTACATATCTACCAAAAAAAAGAGAGGAAAGTAAGAAGTTTGTAGAACAAAACACAAGCTGTTTAAGTTGTTGGCTATTTGTTTTACCCTACTTCTTTACCTTGCCATTTGATCTTTTATTTAATCTAGTGTGATATAAATATGTATTCTTAAATGTTTCAGTGTGGAATAATATGTTTTTTTTAATAGTTCAAGCTCCTTATGGAACATCTGGATCCTGATGAAGAGGAAGAAGACGGAGAGGTGTCAGCTAGCACAAATGCTCGGAACAAAGCAATTACCTCGCTGCTTGGAGGAGGCAGCCCTAAAAACAATGCAGCTGAGACAGAGGACGATGAAAGTGATGGGGAGGATAGAGGAGGAGGCACTTCAGGGGTGAGGCGGAGGAGGAGTCAACGTATTTCGCAGCGTATTACGTAAAATGATTTTTATGTGCTTATAAATGTCAGTCTATTATATTAAATGTACACCAAGTAATGTAATCCACATGAAAGAAAGCATTTTGTAGATAGAGATTCTCTACTTAACCGTTTATACAACTTTTGTAGAAAGTTTAACAGAAAAGACAATAAAAAAAAAACTAGAAAATGAGATTTATCCCGTATAAAAAGTTATTAATTTTCCTTTGGAATGTACTGTGTGTTATCCTTTTTATTGTTGCCAAGTTTTTATGTAGCTTTATGATTCATGTGTATATATAATTTTATATATCAATAAGAGATAAAGACACGGGTACAAATTAAGAGTATGTGGTTTTACAAGGATATGTTAACCCCTTGGCGCTGGCGGTCGCGGTGCGTCTCATTGCCGGCAATGGAATGTGTGCCGGGAAATCCCAACTCCCGGCGTCAAGGGATTAAAAGCAATAAAAGCAATAATTTCACTAAAGTTCTTTTGTGTAACACTTGGTCTTTTTTCCCCCCAATGTTTTAGTCATTGAGAAGGTCAAAACGAAATTCAGACTCTACGGAGTTGGCAGCACAGATGAATGAAAGTGTTGATGTCATGGATGTCATCGCTATTTGCTGTCCAAAGTACAAAGACCGACCACAAATTGCAAGAGTAGTACAGAAAACCAGCAATGGCTTCAGTGTTCAGTGGATGGCAGGCTCCTACAGTGGCTCCTGGACTGAGGCTAAGCGCCGTGATGGCCGCAAACTGGTGCCTTGGGTAGACACTATTAAAGAGTCAGACATTATTTACAAAAAAATTGCTCTAACGAGTGCTAATAAGCTGACTAATAAAGTTGTGCAGACTTTACGATCGCTGTATGCCGCCAAGGATGGAACTTCCAGCTAATGAATTTGTACATGCAGCCAAATTTACAGGAATTGAAATAACAGAAAAACTTGAAATATCAACTTTCTGGCAAAAAAAAAAAAAAAAAAAATCAGTTAAACGAAGAGTAAGAATGGAACCTGGGACGCGGGAAAAAAGAAGGAAATGTTTGGTAAACATTTTTGTGGGAGCTTTCTTCGCTGTTGTGCAGCAGAAACTTCTCAGTTCATTTTTACTCCCACTGTATTATAGTTTAACAAAAAAAATTGTTTATATCTTGAAAAAAAACCTTTCTGTTTAAAAAAAATAAACAAGTGAATGTTGGAAATTAGTCTGTTAATGTTCTTAATAAAGTGTTCTTGGAGTTTAACCTAGCAGCGGATGGCTTTCTTTAGCTTAGCCCAGTTTCCAAGGAAGCATTGTTTTTCCAGGCTGTAAAATGGCAGAATCTCCTGGATATATAATTTATTCTGTTGAAGAAAAAAAAAAAAAGGAAAAAAAAAGGAAAAAAAAAGCATGCAGTATCTATGACCTATCTGCAGGAGGAGTTTTTGTAAATGTAGATTTTGATGTATTAGGTCACCCTGAAATAATACAAGAAAAGGGATCCCCAGCAAATCTGGTGGAACGAATACTGCAATAAATTTTTTTACTTCTCTTTGTTACTTGTCTGTTTCCATTTGAATTTCTTATTGTAAAGATCTGTTTAAATCCATTTATATTATTTTGCAGTCTTTTTATGTAAAATTTACTATAGCATTGGTTTTCAAAACAAGACATAAAATATTGTTTATACAGTTTGTATAGGCTGACTTCTGAATAATTGGTATCCTTTTATTTTTATCCCTTAAAGGGTGTAAACACAACTTAACTCTAGGGTTTTATTGTATCCTGCAATATTTAGTATTAACTATATGATTTAGCACTGTGCCAAACACATTTTCAAGAGTACATTTTGATATAAAAAGAAACTATAGTTTATTCCTTGTATGCTTCAATTTCTTTCTAATGCTGTCCATATGGTAATTTACGATAGTTTAAATCTGGGGAAAGCTGAATGACTATTCTGCTTGGGCTAACTGGCCATGTATGCATTTCTCTGGGTTACTATAGAGAGGTTTGTGTCAAGAGGAGATAGTTACTAGTATCTGAGGAGTGAATGGGTATGAGTCTGGGTAATTCCACTACATTCCTTCACAAATGGATTTTTGAAAAAATGTTTGTATATTAGACTATTTTTTTTACTAATTGAAAGACGTTTTCACATTTTGTAAATTGAAAAAAATGCTATTTCAGAAGCATTTGCTTCAACTGCATTGCCACAGCCTTTCATTAGCAGTTCACCTTCCTGGAGAGTAGAAAACCAGCTTATTTGCAAACAGAAAAATCTAAAATAGTTAAACTTTTTAAGTGACTGTTAAACCCTGCTGTGTTTTCAAATGTATTTGTTCCTAAATAAGTAAATCTTTCATTCTGCTGTTTCTTTCAAAATTTTTATTTATGCTAGGAGGCTGTTTTTAGGAAACTAGCTTGCAGAATTCTAAGACGTTATTTGATTTGTGAGGAATAGTAACAGTATTCCAAAGTATTCTCATGTACAAAAGAAAATTAAACAAATTATTATTAACTCCTCAGAATCAAGTTAGTAATTGTTCCTATGGGAAATGGCCTTCTTGCTGTTTCACCTCTGGAGTTTTTCTGAATAGAAATATTTTAGCACCTTTTTGTTTTCACCGTTAATGGTGTTTTCTTTACTGTACAAGGAGACACCTCTTGGGCTAGCATAGGTATTGTTAAAGTAGAGAGAAGCAGGAAAAGTATAGTAACTCCTCTGCAGCTCTGGAAGCAGGACATTTTTGTAGCAAACAATGAAATATTGTATTTCTCAGGGCCAGGAGCAGTTTTTATAGGGGGAAATTCATACTTGGAGAATAGAGGGGTTGTATGACGTGTCATGTGTTATTAGTAGGAAGAGTTGAAAATACTTCAGAAGGAAACTCCCAGACAATAAAAACAATTTCACACATTGAGATGTATTCTCAAAAGAAGTTGTCTGTTAGCCATTTCTAATACTATTTATATTAAAGCATCTTATTTTTAATAGGTAACACAAATATTTCCTTGTTCATAAACAAATTGTTTCCTGGTCATGTGGCTTTCCCAATAGCAAAGAAGTTTTTTTATTTCAATTTGCTTGGTATTTATTGGAATAAAATTATCAGAAAGAAATAATAGAAACCTGAAGTCTAAAGTTGTCTTAGTTGAGAGGGTTTTGACCGTTAATGTTGTGTGATATGCCGCAGGGCATACATGCTCCTTGATGGAATCTGTTGGATATAATAAATATAATACACACTTACAAAATTAGTTATAGATTATTGAATAAGATTCTTAATAGTTCAGAGTTGGATTTTCCCCTTCTGGACCACCCAAAGTAATATTGTTTTTCCTTTGCCTATCACAAACATTCGGATTACTTGCTGTGAAAGAGAAAGGTAGTAATGTTCATTTTGGGGAAACAGCTTCCTGTTGGCTGTGTATAGCATGGGCTGGTGCTTTGCAGCAGAAAGCCCAAGGCTGCAGCTCAAATCAGAGCACTGCTCAGCCTCTGAGCTGCAGTCACAGTTTTACCAACATGAGCCATGTTATTGGCGACAGCACACACCAAGATACAGAGTTTTCTACATTAAAAAAAATAAAGTTCTTTGTTTCTTGCTTTGGGTTTTAAGTGCTGCAGTGCAGAAATCGATACAGTGACATTCTACTCCTTTATGTTGAGAGAGCCCTTATGATTTTTTCATTGTATGGCTATAGATTTTTACATACATAACTATAATAATTTCTGATTTTTTTTTTAATTCTTACTGCTTTCTCCCTTTGAGTACAAGTTCTGTACATGGAAACTAGTTGTGGTAGCTCCCCTAAACGAAAAGGGTATTGTCAAGCTTTTAGAATTAACGCTAGCCATACTGTGCTTCTTAAGAAAACACAGATACTTCCACAATCTACATAAAAATGAAGTGATTATTTTTAATCTTCCACTTCAGTACTGTAAAATTGCAGAATAGTTCTTGAGTATTTTAATTATCTGCAGCTATAAAAGATCACAATAGTTTTTGACAAAACTTTAATTATAAATAAGTATTTTTTTAAATGATTCCGTAATGCCCTTTTGTATTTTTTTGAGGTTCTTTTTTGCTTATGTAGAACAATTCTAATACATACAAAGTTAAGCAGGGGTAATATTCAGCACAGGTATTTTAGTGAGTTGTAGCCATTAAAAAAACTATTCAAAGTTTTAAAATTTGAGTCAAACTTTAGCCTTTATTGAACTTTAGGTTAGATCTAAGGAAGAAGTTCTTCACAGTGAGGGCGGTGAGGCACTGGAATAGGTTGCCCAAGGAAGTTGTGAATGCTCCAACCCTGGAGGTGTTCAAGGCCAGGTTGGACAGAGCCTGGGGTGACATGGTTTAGTGTGTGGTGTCCCTGCTCATGGCAGTGGGGTTGGAACTAGATGATCTTAAGGTCCTTTCCAACCCAAACCGTTCTATGATTCTATGTTGTGGTGTCACTATTCAGAATATTGAGGTTGTGCCAAACATCAGCTCTAACATGAAATGCCTTACAGCACTTACAGCGGTACTTAAATGTGTTTGTGGCTCACAACAAAAAAGTTCCTAACCGAGACTGACTCATCTGGTGCCAGTTAAAGAGCAGGCTTTGCAGGTGTTAATAATGCTGCATGGTGATTAATGGATCAGTTCAACTGATCCCTGCTGTAAAGCTGACATGTTTAACTACAAGCCCAGGCAGATACTAATGAGGTTGAATTCAAACAAACACCTGCTGCTTTTGTTGTGCGCCCAACACCCCTGAAGCCTCACACCCTAGAAATAGACAGAGCCCAACACAAGTCCTGTATCCTCGTTTGCTTCCACTCACTGAAGAGCCACGCCATAACCACACAAGTGTTTCCATGTCCCTCAGAGAATCTGTCCTCTTACTAAATTACTGAGTTGTAATGGGTGAGTTTTTACTGTAAGTAGTAAGTTTTTAGATTTCATGGTTCCTTGACTAAATATTAAAGTGTTATTGTTGTATAAAAATAAATCCATAGTATTTTCATATTTCATAAAAATAAATGTTTTGAGAGTTCAGTTTGAACCTTTCCAAAATTAAACTTGCAAGTTTTTATCCTAAAATGCACATACAGTTCATTAATCCCTTTCTCATTGTGTTCACAATGCTCAAATTACGGCTGCAGAGCCTGTAAGGCATCCAGGGAATCCATTTTTTGATTATTCTGAGAGAATTCTTGCCAGTCTCTTTTCAACCCGTCAGATGTAACTACACTGTTTCTAATTTCTGAATGATTCAGATGTGGTTTCCCACCTAATTTTGGAGTTTCCTGTATTAGGAAGTGGTAGTTCTCACTGGCACGCATGCAACTGCGTACAGTGCTTGCAGCCTCCCAAGGTGTTATGTGTCTTCTCCAAAAAAACCCTTACCCTGAGGGATGGTTGCAGGGGAGCCAAGGAGGTGGGAGGGGAGAGTTTATCCTGTGTGACAGCACCCGGGCAGCAGTGTGGTGGTGGTTGGAATGTGGTGCATGCGTTTTAGCAACCATCCCTCCAGGCACAGGGTCTGCTACACAGGACTTGCAAACCTTCGTCACCAAAAACCTGACTGTCTCGGTTACAGGCTGTGGCACAGCATTTCTTACTATTCCAGAGGCTATTTAAAGCAACTCTTTTTGGCTTCAAAAGAGCTTTCCTTCATCAGTGTCCTTTGTGCAGCTGTGTGGAAGGCGCATGTTTCTGTTTTGAAAACAAGAATCCTGCTTTGTAGAAGCTGGAATGGTGATTTAATTCATTTCCATCCCCACCTCTTCAGGGGACTGATTATTGAACAGGACACTGCTTCTGTGTTTCTCATGTAGCCTCTGTCTTTTGGAAGCTGTAGGTACGAGCACTGAGCCATGTTGCATGGGGCATGCTTCATCTGCTAGCTTTGGCTGTAAACCTCACTTCCCCAACACCATTTTTGTCAGTCAGCTCATTTTCAATGCACTTCCTCGTTTCCCTTCTCCCAAAATAGCTACTGAATTTGTTTTAAATACCCACTGAATTTGTTTTAAATACCCCTATTTGCAGTTCTCATCCCAACCACAGAGGGCTACAAAATTTGTCAGAAATGGTACCACGTCTGTCTCTACAGTCAATTTATTTTTGAGAAACCACATGAGATCATCTGCTTCTCATTTTGCCTTCACAGGCACAGACTGAAGACTTAGGCCTTCGCAGAGGAACAGCCTTTTCTCTCGTATTTTACATGTTTAGTTCTTGTTAGGATTTATGCTTGTACAAAAATAATACAGAACAATGTACCTAAACTCCTATAATCCAGGAATACATGCATAGAGGAGGAATTCAATAGGTTTGTGCATCGTGCTTAATGTAAATGCATCCTGTGAGTGCTGGCAAACAAAGTGTAATGATTCCTTGAGAAAATCATTCATTTCACGTGCATGAGGGCTTTTTTGGTTCTGAACAGTCCTGTGTGGAGGTGGATTTTCGAACTCAGCGTCAGCCTTGAACATCTCCTGTCTGATGCATCTTGCAAGTCCAAATGGTACCGCTCCATCCCCATATACAAACCCATAGGTCAGATCTGTGTAATACCGAGTTCCCTGTGACTTGGATCATGCCTCATCACTCCTACTTGCTGTCCAAAAGTACTGGCATTGCTCTAGTTGAGAGCGAGGGAGGATTCCTTTCCTTCCATTCTTATTGAAATCCATAGGGCAGAAGTTGTCACTAAGTCTGTGTTCAGCCTTCAAGTCATCCAGACCAACCATATATTGTGTTCTACACACTTGCTCCTCTGTGGGTGACTCTGGTTGGCACTGGACGCTCCACAATTAGTTAGTGGATTTTTTTCCTACCTTCAATTTTAAATGGTGGCTGAGAAACCCACTCAAA